CCTTAAGTGAGTCAAGAGAGAATGTTAGACTCTCTCTTGTACTCTTCTGCTTCTTCCCTGATAAACCTCAAATTCCTAATCCTCAAAGGGTTGCAACACACTGGTAACGCCTCTGGTGTTCCGTTTTGGGCCACGCAGATTGCTTACCATCAAGTGTGGGAGAGCCATGCTTCGGCACGAATGGGCCGGCTCGACCGGAGTGATACCACGGCCTCACAGAAAACCGACGTGAAGCAACGCTTGCATTGTGTTTCGTCGCGTGAGTGAGGTTACCGGAGGCCCAATTTCCCTCCCCTTCCCCAATCTCCCCAATCCCTGAATCCCCAACAATCCTCAAACTCCTAATCCACAAATAGCCGGTAACGCACTTGTAACGACTCTGGTGTTCCAGGTGTCCATGGGCGACGCCGATTGCTTTCCATCAGGTGATCCGTCTGCTCGTTTACCGGCTTATGCCATAAAAAAAAAAAAAAAAAAAGTGATTTGCTCATTTACCAGTAATAACATAATGCCACAACAGGAATATTTTTCATCACAATATTCATTTGTATTTTCCACATTAAACATTCCATTAATCTTTTTTGTATTTCCTTCCATCCATCAATGTTTATATTCGTAATTTGCCTAGTCATTGACTTCCATACCTGTTCATCACACACCTAAATATTTTGTCCGTAAGAGACAATTAACATATCAACTTCTTTGTTCTGTTCTAAATACTCATCATCAACATCTACTGCGGAACTGGCAAACCAGTTTCCTACTAAATCTATAGGCCTCATTTACTTGAGAGGTTTATAGAATAGAATCAGGCGTTACTTTGCAGAAATCCATGTTACAATATCAGTCGCGGGATCTCTCGAGTCAACAACTCCTGAGGATGCTCCGTGGAGGAGCCAAACATATTTATGTCGAGTGTGGTTCAAGTGGTTTTTTGCGTGTCATGTTTGTATTTTATGTCGTTTCTCTCCTACATGAGCGTTTATTTGCGGTCGGGAGGACAGTGCTGCATACTGCATGCTGATTTATTCCTTCAGTGGAATAAAAACTAAATATTTTTCTCGTTCTTAGTGTTGAGGGGTTGTTAAAACCTTCATGCTAGACTGTTGAGCTGGGTTCAGCGGTTTATTAGAGATGATGCTGTCCATTTGCTGTCAAATTTTATAGAAAGAGTAAAGCTATTGTAAAATGTATTCTACTCTGTTGCTCTGCTTCCTGTCTATGCCTTTTCCCCCTTTAGTGTTAAAGTCACGGTATAATATTTCTTTTTATTCATCGACGGTGGCAAAACACACAGCCCACCTGATTATAAGTGATTACCGTAGCCTATGAACGCTTGCAATACTTGGAGCATTACTTGCGCCTTTTCGACCCTCAAAAACCTATTTATTCCCTTCTTGAAGAACCTCATATGAGAAAAAATTGGTAGATAGTTTATTTCACAATCGGTGAGTTTGTGGTAGGAAATTCCTCGGAAACAGAACTGTACGGGACTATTAAGGTCCATATCTGTTCTATATGATTATTAAAAATATCAATTTCATCTTAGTACCAAAAAATGCCTACACACCTATTTCTGGCTTACCAAATTACCTGTGCCATTGTTTTTTTCTTTTATCGCCTAAATATGCATAACAATGGACATGATACGCACTTTTAATTTACTCAGTCAACATTAAAAATGCTTTGTCATTATTATTCATATTCTTTTTAATTTCATAACAATCATGTTATGTACCTCTCTCTGCCTTTGACTTTTTGGAAAAACAGTTGTGTTGTGATGTAAAATAACTGAAAGTTGTTGGTTATGTATTAGACCTGCGTTTTAGAAGGCAAGTTTCGTGGCTGATGATAAATAAATTAACTTATGACACCTCGTGAATGTTTTATAATTTTCGATAATAGTTTTGTTTAGTTGTAACTTCTAGATCATCAAAAGGAAAATAATACTATCGTGGCAATAAAAATTGTCTTTTGCACTGCAACCATCGAAGTTTCGACGGCAAAATCTTCTTAGTTTTGATGAATTTACTATGAGCATTCCCAAGTAACTTGACAATATTGTAGGCATTATGGACAATATTCGGTAACCACTCACCATCAGGTGGGCTGGGTGCTTTTTTGCCACTGTCGTGGTATAAAGAAATCTCTCTAAAACCGGAGGCCTTTACTCAGAAACGGGCGTGTTCTGGTTGACGTTGATGATGATAACGACGGTCTAACCAATGTCACAGTTACTACAAAAACCAATCGCTCAATGTGTCATCGTTTCGATTTTTACATTGAATCTGATGTACCATCTAAACCTGTTTGTCAACGCACTGGAAAACTCTGTAACGCTTGTGGAATAATACAAAATGTGTTTAGGTACGAGAAGAACCTCTTGTGGAACAATACACACGCATTGGGTAGCACATTTCAAAATTTAGAATAGCTTTAAGGACCACGTTACATACGATTTAACACTAAACATCAGAGTACGAATTATGTTTACCAGAAGAACTGAAACTAGAAAACACAAAAATAAAAAATATTGATTATTTTTTTTAGATTTGGAGCATGGTGAAATGTATGTTTTTTATAATCATAGTTTTACATAGATTATTATGTAAAGTCAGTAAGTATTTTTTTATGGGATAAGCCGGTAAACGAGCAGGCGGATCATCTGATGGTAAGCAATCGACGTCGCCCATGGACACCCGAAACACCAGAGGTGTTAGAAGTGCGTTACCGGCCGGTTTTGGGTATTAGTAGTTTGAGGATTGTGGGGGATTCGGGGATTGGGGAGACTGGGGAAAGGGGTAATTGGGCCTCCGGTAACCTCACTCACATGACGAAATACAACGAAAGCGTTGTTTCACGTCTGTTTTCTGGGAGGCCGTGGTGTCACTCCAGTCGAGCCGGCCCATTCATGCCGAAGGATGGCTCTCCGGAACGCTTGTATACCTTATATAATATATATAAAGTATACCTATTAATTAATATTGTCTGTGAACTATTGACGTCACTTATTTTGTTACAGTTTTGATTACTAACTACTTAAACGTTTCAATTTTAATAACGTAATTTTCTTTTATTCTTCCTCAAAATACGGGACCTTACAACTCGAATCCAACACAATCTGTAATGAACGACTCCAAATATGCAAGAAACAATTCTCCTGACGTGGATGTCAGTGGATTTAGCATAATTAATAATATCCAGACACGTTTCAATTTTACTTTTATAAGCGGTATATGTGGCATACGTGTGTAAATGAGTGACATTGTAGAAATTTTCATAATTATGTACACAGTTGCTGCATTTTTGTACAGTCAACTAATGTGAAAATTGCTAGGGTTGGCAATTAGTCAGTAAAAAGTCTCATATTCCCTCTTACCCCACCCAGGTCATTTGATAATAGTTATCCATCCTCACTGTAGAAAGGGGTAGACGTGTTCTGCAGTGGAGGCCGCGTCTAGGCTAACGTAGTGTTTTTTTTTAAGGGGCGATAATCATCGAATGTCTGCTCCCGCCTGGGTGAGGCGGGAGGGACTGTCAGACTCTTACTAACTAAAATCCACCCCGTTCCTTCTCCTGCACGTCGAGCCGGAGCCCCGGCTACCCGTACACTACGACTGGTAAACGTAGTGTAGGGCACCCTCCAGCTAGGTGGAGTGACGATATACGTAAAGTGGTTGGTAGTGCTTGGATGCGTAGAGCTGAAGTCCGAAGCTCAGTGGCGTGCCATTGGAGAGGCTTATGTCCAGCAGTGGACGAAAACAGGCTGTTGATGATGACGGTAAAAAGGGCTATCCTGGTTAACATGAATACTCCAGGGAAGCCTTCGAAATTAAAATGTTCATGAGTGTTCTGCAACTTAGAGCTTGATATCAAATACCATGATGATAAAATATAAATTAGTTCTCGTGAAATGTATGTCTTTATTTACCCACAATAATTGTTAAAGTCATTCATATTGCTCCGCGATTAACTGAAGATCTACAAATCAGTTATGAACATTCTTTATGAACATTTTAACAAAATTTTGATGTAAAAGTAAAACTGGTCGATGTATTTTCATATGCAAGAATGTAACGCATTAATATTTTACGGTACCTCCTATAAAGGTGATGTGACAGGAAGAAGTTAGGTAATGTATATAACAAGATGTGAATGCCACCCAGAGGGTGGCCCAGAGGCTTAAGACGCCCGCTTCTCATGCATGAGAGTGCGATGCGGTTCCCAAGTTTACCTAGACGCCTAGTGGTATCTAAACGTTTGTCAGTACAATCAGTGAAGGAAAACATTGTGAGGAAACCTGGGTTTATAATTTCTTCGTGCGAAAAGAGGCCTTTGGTCAGCAGTGGCCTATTTGTAGTCCGTTAATGAGAAGAACATGAAAACATCGTATTTCGGTATAGATACTTTACGTGTACCCACAATCTTCAGGCTTCCTCAAATATGTTTGCGGGTTGAGTTTGAAGACATGCCTCATCTGGTGCTAATCAAAGTTCAGCGTGATTCTGTCCATTTGCCTCACCGAACCAGTACCAAAAGTTCAATATTTTATAACCCCATGGTCTAAACAGAAATTCGACTCACATTACCCTGTTTTTGAAAGGGTCACGAGATCTCATCAGCAATTCGATACAAGGTGTGTCGAATTTCTGTTTAGCATAGTATATGAGTATTTGTATCGTATCCTGGCTAATGGTTTATGATGTGAATTTCTAAACAACAACTATAAAAATACACCTGATTTATAAAACACAATTTAACCACGATTATACATCAGATATAATAATAGAAAAATACAAAAATATACCTGAGAAACGTAATTTAGAAAGCAAAAGTGAACGTGTTTACCACAACAATCACGCAAAGAGACAGCCCTAAGAAAAGAAGTGTTATCATGCACACTATTTACCAAAATGACAAATTAACTCTCTCGGAACATTTACTTTCGATCAAGTTTAAATAAGTAGATCATACTGGTCTTCGTATCCTTTACCGGTATTGTCAGTCTGCGGTACGAAGCCGCACTTACAACCATGGACGTCATCAAGTTTAAGGTGAATGGAGTCGAGCACACAGGTTAGAAATTGCACATAATTTATTTATGTAGTTTAGGTTTTTAATATTCACTCATTTTCATCATCGTCATCATCATAAGCAATAGACAAAAGACGCTCACTGCTGTACAAACGCCTCTCCCTTAGACCGCCACGTCGAGTACTAATTTCCCATACTTTTCATAATAACTCCTTTTGATTGAGATTTGCTTGCAAATTTATTATTATATTAACTACGTGGACTTTCTTCTACTCCATGACATACGCTTTTCTAACGTAGCAATTCTAAATTTCAACTCAGTCATACTCTGAGATGACTAGTGTATCAGATCCTTTAAATATTTATTACTATTGTGTACCACTACTTCTTTCTTTGTATTCACTTTTGGACAGATAAATAAAATCTTTGAAGAGGATTATTTACTTAGTTATATTTTTAATCTGCTGGTGATAATCTGCATTGGTTTGTTGCTGGAGTCGCAGTTGAAGCTAGCCAAATCCGGTGACCCTGAGACGTGTCACAATGGGGTGGTCAGTTTCTAGTCACAAGGGCCAAGAGGAGCCATGTGATGAATTACAATTTCTTACAAAAAATGACTGCATTAGTTATTTATTCTCACCACAGTATCCGGCAGCGAGGTGGGCTCCGATGTTATGTTGCTGGACTACCTCCGCAACTACCTCCAGCTACGTGGTACCAAGTACAGTTGCCGCGAGGGTGGGTGCGGAGCCTGCATGATCACCGCTGCCAAAACTCCAGGAGCTCCATACTTGGCTGTCAATGCAGTAAGTAAAAATACTTTTGCAGACTTCTAAAATTCAATACCTTTTGTATTGAACCAGAAAGTGGTTCACCAATTGTTTCATTCGAATAGTTCGAATGAATTGTGCTCAAATGGCAAAGCTTTAAATTATGTGAACGAAGTTCATAGACTAGTAATGGAATGTTGATGGCTATAACATGGTTTCGGGTCTGCATCATGAAATCGACATTTCAATGATTTTACCTTTATAACTAAGCCTATTTTTTTAGTGTCTCCAATCGCTCGGATCTTGTCATGGATGGGATATCGTGACTATTGAGGGTTTGGGCAACAAAAAGGATGGGTACCACCCTCTGCAGACGACGCTCGCTGAGAACCATGGCACTCAATGTGGATACTGTACTCCAGGATGGGTGATGGCCATGCATGGGTACGTTGGAATTCATAATAATATAATCAAGTTTTATTTGATTGATATGTTTGAGATGAAGAAAAAAATATCTAGATAACAGTAAACCTCAATGTCAGAAAATATTGTTGTCCAGTTGCTATTATCTGATGATTCTGGAGTAGACAAACTCGAGTAATTTTGTAGGAGGATTATTACTATAGTAGTTGGAAAACCAAGATGAAAGTGCAATCAAACAATCTGCACTTCAGATTGCACGGTTGGTGCGGTGGCTTGGCAACCGGCTGCCGTGCAAAGTGTCGCGGGTTCGATTCCCGCACGGAACAACACTTTGTTGATAATTTGTTGTTTCGGGTCTGGGTGTTGTGTATGTGAACTTGTATGTTTGTAAACGCACCCACGACACAGGAGAAAATCCTAATGTGGGGCAAAGTTAAAAAAAAATCTGCTGAAGTTTCAGGAAAAGTTAACAACTAACACCTACAGTAAACGACATTAGGTTATTCACCTATTCGATAATTCGATTTAATTAAAAAACATTTATCTCATTAACCTTCAAAGAAAGATGAAGATTCTCAATTGAACCTGTATGTACATATATAGGCGCCATTATCTTATGATTGGCTCAACCGATTTTGATGCAGCTCTCAAAAGTGGTTCCCTTAGAAGATGTTCATAGTATATGAATCAACCGATTTTATATTATTATTTTTTTATTATTTAACTTTCAATAAAATATTACTAATTTATCTTTCAGTCTCATGGAAAGCAACAATCACCTGACGATGTTAGACATAGAAAAGTCGCTTTCTAGCAATCTTTGTCGCTGTACTGGCTACAGACCTATCTTGGATTCTTTCAAGAAGTTTGCAGTAGATGCTCCTACCGAAGACAAGATTAAAAGTATTAAGGATTTGAGTATTTGTAAGAAATCCAACAACTGTTGTCGAAGCTTTGCCAAAGAAAATGATTGGTGTATGGTGGAGGATGATGTGTCTGCTGGAAAGATGATGGAAATAAAATTAAAAGATGGTAAAACATGGTACACACCCACGACTCTAAATGAGGTTTTAAAGTTATTAGAGGAGAATTTGGAATCATACATGCTGGTCGGTGGAAACACATCCAAAGGTAAAACCAATACAATTAAACCATAAGATTTTCAAACCAAAGAATCTCTTTAGCATATTATATAAGTAAGGATCAATGTATCGAGAATTGGCTTCATAATTATTACCTTAAATTTATTTCTTCTTCAAAACAAAAATATTATAAATTTAATATGAAATATCTTTGGTATTTTAGGCGCGTATCCCATATTGGATTATGCCAATGCATTGATAGATGTGAACCACGTACAAGAGCTAAAAGCTAACGACTTTGACCAGAACCTTAGAGTCGGAGCAGGTCTTACAATGACAGAATTGATGGACATCTTCAAAACTAGTGCTGCGCAAGAGAACTTCAGCTATTTATCCATATTGTATGACCATGTGGATCTAGTTGCTCACATACCGTTACGAAATGTAAGTGTTTCAATGAATCTTTTTTTTGAGGAGGGAAAATCATCAATGGTTCCTCCCGCCTGACTTAAAACCATCCCGTCCTTACTCCTGTTTCGAGGCGGAGTCCAGTAACACGTTATGTTGTCCGTGGCTATGAGTATTAATCGTGCCGCGGCCCATCTGTGATGGCGTGACGCCGCACGCACCGTTTTGTCTGGTTCTGGTCAGGCGGTGATCTATCTTTGCTCGCCGTCCGCTGAATGAATCTATGTTTCAAAATTAGACCAAAAATGAGGCTTTGAAACTTTATTTATCTATATATTATGTAACTTTGTAAGAAATGTCTAAACTGGTTCTTATATTGTAGGTAGCAACAGTTGCTGGAAACTTGATGATCAAACACACTTACAATTCTTATCAATCTGATATGTATCTAATCTTCTATACCGTTGGTGCTCAATTAACAATTGGTATGTAACTATTCACATGAAAATATGCATTGAACTTTGTGCAGTTTAATGGTACTGTTACTTAAATAAATAAGTGAAAATACTATTATTGGTTGTACTTATAAACTTTGCTTATAATTAAATAACATAAAAATAATACACTAATATCGTATTTCAGTGGATTACCATGGAAAGAGACAAACAGTAACGATGAATAAGTTTTTGGAAATAGACATGAAAGGAAAAGTGATCTTGGACATCCTACTCCCACCATTAAGTAAATCGCATAAACTTTACACATATAAGGCAAGTTATTTAAAACCGTCTTCTTATATTAAAATGTAGAAATGAATTGATAATGCAGAAAAGACAAAAAAATAATGAATATATTTGTTTTAGCTGATGCCCAGAGCTCAGAGTTCTCACGCCATTGTGAACGCCGGTTTCCTTTTCAAACTAAATTCATCAAACGTGGTAGAAGAAGCCACCATCGTTTATGGAGCTCTTTCGGAGAAATTTGAAAAAGCTGTGTCCACTGAAAGGTACCTTATTGGAAGGGACTTGTTTAGTAATGACACCTTGCAAGGAGCTTTGAAAGTTTTAGATGGAGAAATGATCGTAGAAGATCACCCACCAGAACCATCTATTGAATATAGAAGACATATCGCTAAGGCTCTCTTCTTCAAGGTACGTTAATGTTGAGATATCAAAATATTGTATGTCTACTGTACTTTTAAACTGTTTTAAACAAATAACATAGTTTCAATAACATACGTACCATCGATCCTAATATTTTCATCCTATCAATATTTTTTCATTTTTCAGGCTCTCCTGAATCTAGCTCCGTCTAGAGCACCCCGGTGTGATTCAGCTGTTATAGATTTGCATTTGACCAGGCAATGCTCAAAAGCCAAACAGGTCTTTTCTACTGATACCTCATTGTGGCCGGTGAACAAGCCGATGCCAAAGCTTGAAGCAAAGGTACCAAACGTGAATTTAAAGAAAATATCATTACATCTACACACACTTCACATAATTACATAACTTTTTATTCCAGATTCAATGCGCAGGAGAAGCTATATATACTGACGATATGCCATCCTTCCACAATGAAGTGTTTGGTTCCTTTGTACTGAGTACTGTGGGCCTTGGAACTATTCTCAAAATGGATCCTAGTGAAGCCTTGGTAAGATTATCTATACTGAAAAATTGAAAATCTGTCAGAGTATAGAGGTATAATATATATTCTAAATGTAATTTCATTTCAGGCATTACCTGGCGTATTAGCTTTTTATACTTATAAAGACATCCCCGGGTTGAACTCTTTTACTCCCTCAGATGGGCAAGGTGGAGTTACGTCAGCAAACGAGGAAATTCTATGTGAAGGTGATGTAAAATATAACGGCCAGCCAATTGGTATCATTGTAGCAGAAACTCAAAACTTAGCAGATAGAGCTGCAAGGCTGGTGAAAGTTAAATACACTAACATTTGTACACCTATTACGGATATCAAAGTAGCTAAAGAAGATAGCACGAGGAACACTCTATTCACTTCTGCTGATGCCACAACGACTGGCTCCGATGTCCACAAGATTATAACTGGCAGTAACGTTGTACACGGACAATATCATTTCCCAATGGAGACCATGGTCTCTGTCGTTAGACCTACGGAAGAAGGATTGGAGGTACATTTGGCATCACAGTGGATGGATGGTGCACATACTATGATTTCGAGGGCTTTAAAAATAGACCAAAACAAGTAGGTATTATTATATCTTATTAATGACGGTTTTGTAGCTGAAGTTATATGTTGTTTTTAAACTGTCAAACACCAAGCGGTCACCGGTGACCGCAACCTATTGTTCTATAATTGTGTCTACAAAACCGGTACTCGACGAGTTAATAGTGTATCATACTGTCATACTGATATGTTTTTCTTCTAGAATTGATGTCTACATTCGCCGAGTTGGCGGTTCTTATGGACTAAAGATTTCGCGTTGCATTCAGTCAGCTGTTGCGTGCAGTCTTATCGTTCAAAAACTGAACCGCCCATGCAGGTTCATTCAACCATTGATTACTAATCTGAAAGCTTTCGGTAAAAGGATGCCCAACGTAACTGATTATGAGGTGAATTCGATGTATAATTTATTAAAATATTATAAATCAATAAAATCTTACAATGTACAGTATATACTATAATGAAATAACTATCATTACAGGTTGCGGTCAACAGTTCTGGAATTTTACAATATGTAAACTTGTTCGCCTATACAGACAACGGTTACAAAATAAATGAGCCTATTGCATTCTACGCGGCTGATGTCTATTTCAACTGCTACGATGGCACCAAATTTAATTATAAGTCCTATAACACAATTACTGATACAGCTAAAAATACTTACTGTAGAGCGCCAGGTACAGTTTTGTGAATAAGAATAAAAGTAAAAATATTTTTTCTAACATATCTATGTGCAATATATTTGATTAACATTGTTTTTCTTGTACAAACAGGTACATTAGAAGCCATCGCAAATATTGAGAATATTATGGAGAGAATTTCGTATGAACTTTCTTTGGATCCAATTGCTCTCCGTCTTGCCAATTTGAACACAAATTACAGTGAGTTAGCTGAAACAGTAGAAGCATTAAAAACCAGCGCTGAATATACTAGTCGCAGAGCAGCAGTTGATTCCTTTAATACCAAAAATAAGTGGAAGAAACGAGGACTGAGATGGGCTTTCTGTAGATTCCCTCCAGTAGGTGGATTATATGCTGACGTAAATCTCTCAGTTTACCATTCAGATGGCACTATTGTTATTACTCATGGAGGTATTGAAATGGGTCAAGGTATTAATACTAAAGCCGCTCAAGTAGCAGCCTATTTGCTGAATGTACCAGTAGAATTGATTGAAATTAAAGGAAACAACAGCATCATTGCACCTAACAGTTTCGCCAGTGGAGGAAGTATTACAACTGAGGGTGTGATTGTCGGGCTAAGAAGATGTATTGAGCAACTGCAGGCCAGATTAGAACCTATCAAAGCCACGATGACTGACCCAACCTGGTTACAGTTGATAACCGCAGCATTTGCTGCTAATGTGGATCTTCAAGTCCACGGATATTGCAGTTCTTCAGATGCACAAGCATATGAAATGTTTAGTGCGGCATGTTGTGAAGTGGAAGTTGACGTTCTGACCGGAGAATATGAAATTCTGAGAGTAGATATAATGCAAGATGTTGGTATAAGTATGAATCCTGATATTGATATTGGACAAGTAAGTAATAATTAAATTTATATTTTAGTGGTGTTCATGTTGAAACTGATTCTAAAATAATTATAACCCTTATTTGTTCAGATTGAAGGAGCTTTCATGATGGCTTCTGGATACTGGACTTGTGAGAAATTGGTTTATGACTCAGAAAACGGTGCGCTACTCACAGACAGATCTTGGGATTACCATCTTCCTGAGGCCAGAGATATACCTCAAGACTTTAGAGTTACCCTAAAGAATTCTTACAGCCACGACTACATTCTGGGATCCAAGGGTAAGTATTGTAATATTTTATGAGAACTCCAAATTGATTTTAATCAAATTAATAGCGGAAAGGATACGAAACATTAAAAAACCTTCAAAAGTTATAAATTATATGATAATTATGAACAGGTATTGGAGAGCCACCGGCGTGTCTATCAGTGGTTGTACCATTTGCACTTAGAGAAGCCATTGTGCAAGCAAGACAAGAATCTGGTATACCAACCACGGAATGGTTTGATATTGGTAAGTAATTTAGAGCAGTTTAGGATACTAGACGGATTCATTATCTTAGGACAAAAATTATATTAGGTACTAAACGAATACTTTTGTTCCAAAATTTTAATGTAAATCGAGTCTGGTTGTTTTACCAATTTTGATTTCGGTAGGGACCAAGACTTTACACTACACAAAATAATATAACTGTATCTCTCTCTTAGGGTTAAGAGGTTAAGTGCTGTTGCACTGCTTTCTCTCACTCATTAATTGACACTATAAAACATTTTGCCGGACTTAACAATCAAAACTCTTGAAGAAGTAGAGGGTCCAACGTATTCTAACACTTAATTTTTGTTTTGCAGAAGGCCCATTCTCCACGGAAAAGATATGCATGGCGATGAAGACTAGCGTGAATGACTTTAAAATTGTCTAAGGTGCGATGAAGAAATGACAAATGGATGATAATTATATAAGTTTAACATTGGTTCCTTCACTCATGTATGACAGAGTGAATGGAGTAGAAAACATGCTTAGCAGTGATATAAAAATATACATATAGCTATTTTGCTTTTTCACTTAAGAGAACATTAATAAGTTTTATCTGGTTTCTTTATTAAAAAATCATTTTCAAAGCTTTTTTATCTTAGTTCTTAGTTAGAGGTCAGTAGTTTATTGCAATTTTGTTCGCTTTTTTACACCATCAATTTATTACTTTGGTTTTTAACGGTTTTATTTTTGTTACCTTTTGGGGTTTTGTTGGTATCTTTTTGTTTTTCTCCATAATAATTATTCGTTTTGTATTCCTTATTGAAAAGTGATATTTGGTTAAGTTTATTAAAATGGTTGGCTTCTTATTTTTGTTTTTATTTGATATCCCTTATTTTGTGAACTAAACATATCTATATATTTATTTATATTTATAAAAGAAATTCGTGTTAGTTATACTATTTATAACTCAAAAAAACCTAGATCGATTTGACTGTAAATTGGTGGAAAGGCAGTTTAGAACCAGGAGATGAACACAAAATACTTTAACCAAGGATTTCCCGAAAATCCTATGGAAATGAAAAAATATGGAATGCCGCGTATAAAGTCGCGAGCAGAAGCTAGTTTTCCTATACTTCTACAAGAAATGCTGTATCACAGAATTAAACTATGTACACGGTCACTTAATAACTCAATACTACATTGGCAGTATATTTACGCCTCCAGGCGATCACGCACCGTCAACATTATGGAAGCATGTTGACTTAGGGCACTTCCTAACGACCACAATACTGGCCATCGCACACGTACTGCCACTAATTGTGAGGATTATTGCCTAAAATGTCTTCCCTTTGTCAATTGGCTTTAGGATACGCCCTTTGTTTGAATTGTAAAGATATCTCAATTTAGTGGTACTTTATAATTCAGCGTTTGTAATTAATTCAGTGGTTACAATGTAACGTTAAACACATATTTTTTAAAGTGATAAACAAAGGATTTCTTATGGTATACAATAGTTTCCAAAACGAAGCACAACTCGTCTCAGGCAAGTATTAAACTATCATTGATAGTAAGTAATATATTGATAGACTATCAATTTGAAAGCATCCATAAACAATTTTAATCAGCAATATTCTAGAAATAATGAATCCTTTAAAATCCATATACAAATCATACCTACATCAAACAATAAACATTTACATTACAAAAGAGCAGCTAAACAAACCAGCAAAAATGCCTTTAATAAAATAAGATCAAGTATTCCAAGGTATTAGAGGCAGGTTAAGGAATCCTCTTGAGTGAAGTTGCCCTCCGACCTCCCGGGCACTCCCGACTCATCTGTCGCTGCATTCTCGAGGCCTCCCGACCGACACTCACTGTGCACTCTGCGATCTTCACGCTTTTATAGCAATATTGTTGAAAGACTTAGATATTGTTGGTGTTTGTCATAAGGTTTAGAAAAGACGTGCTTTTTGTTGTTTTTGTCTGTTTTAATTGGCTAATCAATTTTTTTAAGATCGTGTACTTGATTTGCAAAGTATGAAGTATGTATTAAATGATATGATTGAATTAATAGAATACCATAATAACTTTTATAAGATTTGCTATTTGAGAACGACGACCATGCATGAAGACTTATGACTGTTGAGGAAGCGAAAGAGATGTAAGAATCATAGCAATTGGCTTACCATAGTCTCTGCATTCCCCCATGGGAGACAGGCATGAGGTTATGTAATTATGAAGTTTTACATTATTCTTATCTGACTATTTTGAGACGAAACACTGAAACAAATTTAAAAGTCAGACTATGAAAATGTAACATTAATTTTGACAGACATTTTAAGCTTCATGGTACATTTAAAACACACAAATAAATCACAAACTTTTTCAAAATCTCCAAAAAACAACGCTGGCGTGTGTACCCATTCTGACGTAACACCCAAACTCAGATGAGACGCGCTACCCAATATTACCCAGTAATTCCAGAAAGGCTGATCCAGACGTATTTCCTTGCCATTACTAACGGACCATGCAATTCGCTCGAAGCCGCTGGGACTTGTGCGGCTTCGGCTTTGAGGAGGGAATCCCAAAGAGATGTTGGATCATTTGCTCTTCATATTCCCTCGTATCTTCTGAACAGACTTTGAGTGTAAATTGGCCGTATTTTGGGTGATTTTAATAGTACATAGGTACTAGAGGGGTTTTTCAATATTCTTTCCATGTTGTTTCTAAAGTTGGGTTTGGGTAGGTAATTAGTTCTATTAACGAAATAGTATGCTCCCTACTTAAAGGTATTAGGTAATATTAACAGCATGTTATCATGATTACCCATTTATAAATTTATTTATTTAATTATAAATTTATGCACAACATACAGACAATACACAAGAGGAAGTACATAGGAACTGCATATTTCCGTAGAAACCTCTTTCTGTAGTCCTTCGATAGGAAAAACAGTAAAAACAAAGGCACTACTATTATTATAGCCTCGCGTGTTACTCACGTAAATATACTGAGAAAAGTTCTACTAGTTTCGAACCACAGAGGGGTTGTTCCTCACGCCGCGCAGCCTACTGGCTACATCAGTACTAGAAGTATCACTATAAGTTATTGTAATCGATTTTTGATTTAGTGAATTCGTCTGTCTTCGGAAGCATTCATATCAAGCGATCTAGTATGACGGTTTTCAATAAGAAATTCGATACAGGATATTTGTGTTATGTCTTCAATAACACTAATTAAAAATCTAATCACTCTAAATTATAGTAAAGATGCAAGCTGCATCTGTCTACCAGTGACATACATCAAGTCATTAAAATTGTAAGCAAAATGGATCGCCACGTCTCTCGGAGTGCAGTTTTCTTAAATCATCGTCCCCTTTTCATTGAGGCTGGCTTTCAGAGCACGTGCGGCCCATCTCCGTGTCGAGCCACTAAGTAAGCCATAGAATTGTATCTATTTATATTGGTAGGTAAGTCTCATTAACAATATTTGGTCATAGATTTTTTACTGCTGAAACAGAGGTTTCGTGGTCTTCTTATTGATGCAAAGTGTATCGAGTAAAATTGTAGCAAAAATGTTTTAAACTAATCGTATCATTAAGAAAATCTTACTGAAATTTACTCACGGTTGTTTCTATCCACGACTAAAATATTCTTAACGTGACTACTTTTCGGTATATCAAAATAACTTCAACATTGATGATGACACGAAAATAAAAATTACAAACACAAAACTATTCCACGCTCAACCAATTTTTAAAATTCCTATCATCGTATCCGCACATCTCATGGCCCGAACAGACCAACATGCAAATGTTCTAACATGAACTAACGAGGCACTCGACTCAGTTCTAACGAGTGCTATTCGACCAGCTCTGTCACCCCCGCATTAGTCATCACTCACTTTTACCCTTCATTCTCTTCATTTTTCAGTTGTGGAACTGAAATCTCAGTAGTGGAACGTAGCCGAAATAAAAGATGTAGTAATATTATTTTTAAGAGATTTCTACATTTTGGACATTTTGCCTAATAGATAATTTAAGAAGATGTTGACGTTCATCATTCTTATGTGGCAAGTACCTATACAAAAAATGTTTACCTAAATTTAAGTCCCTGATTTGTTGTAACTGAAATATTACTGTAATTCTAAAGCATTTTAAAAAAAATATTAACAGACTCAGACAGATAAAATCAGAAGAACCTCATTCTAAGTGACTTAACTGAAAGATGGCCGCCGTAGCTGTTAATAATATCTTCAATTAAAAAAGGTAGTCCTTGACATAATTGGCGAGCACGTTATTCTCAATATTACCCTTAAAGAGATTAATTGGACATAATTTTGCCCTTATTAACGCGTCAAAGGGAGTTTTAATGAAGAAATAAGTGATTGCAGAGACCTTTATTGTCTTATATTAAGTGACGATGTTTTATGCACCTTGTATAAAATTTACATCGTTCTGTATAGAGTGGTATTCTGAGGAACAAAATGGGATGTACATTTTTTTGCCTTCAATTGTGTCTATTGTAATGAAAATGCACTTAAAATAAAGAAAATCTTGGTAGAACAGTTTTATTTTAAACTTGATACATATAGTACTAATTTTTTTTCAACACAGTAATACACAATGTAGGTACGTAGTACTTAGCTACTTTTTTATAACAAAATAGTCACTTACAGATCAGTATTGCCTAAAAAATACATTAAGGTATCACCAAACTAACAACATAGAAAATCTTGCAGCATTCAACTTTTACAGTCATGAACCGAATTATCGTTTAAAATGTCATATTGAACCGTTAACCAGATGGCAAGTACCATACCATTAATGTTAACCAGCTGGTTCCTTCAGCTCCTGCAGTTCCACATTTCATATACTTACTACCAGTTCCAAAAAGTCACTTGGAAAACTTTATCCAGATTTTGGAAGCGGAAAATTTGGGCTCTGGTAAAACTAAATCGGTTTTAGTGCAAGAGTTTAAGTTGAACTGTAAGTTTGTATGTAGTTATGGTACGACTCGTAGAGCTTAGCTTGTAGCGGTCGGTTGAACATGTTTTTCATGGCTATGGAAGCCGTTTAAAAAGGGGATTCTTACTTTTTCGGTGGAAACTGGTAAGGGTTAGTTTTGAAAGCAGTTTAATAAATATTTACATTAGGCCGTTTTTAAAGTAATGAGATATGTTTGAAGGTATTTATAAAATAGTATAATTATGATAACTTGTGTTGAAAAGTCTTGTTTGGAGAATGGGCCGAGTGATACCACGGCCTCACAGAAAACCAACGTGAAACAACGCTTACGTTGTATTTTGTTGTGTGAGTAAGGTTTCCAGAAGCCCAATAACCCTCCCTCCCCAGTCTCCCCAGGCCCCGAATCCCCCATAATCCTGTAATTCCTGCTTCCCAAAAGGCCGGTAACGCCTCTGATGTTTCAGATGTCACAATGAACATCTAATTCGACAAATGCAAAAACGTACGCCTTTTTGTATCACATTGAACTTTACGAAACTGCCTATAACATAACATAACATCACGCCTTTCATCCTCGAAGGGGTAGGCTGAGGTGCACATTATACCACTGTACCTACAATGTAACACCCACTTTTCACTATTTATGTTATAAGTCCCATGTAATAGGGGTGAGTAGAAGCTACTTGTAACTTAACATAAATTCACATTTAACTCACAAAAGAATAACAAAGTATGCTCCAGTCACACACTACAACCACGTCCCACATCCCACATGCTCTTACTATGACAGGAAGCTAATTAGTGTGCAACCCACTAATTGTGTACAACCTCACTTTGTGTGCTTAGACCTGC